TAATATATTTGCAACATTTTTGAAATGCTCAATAAAGTCGTCATTTAACAGGCAATGCATCAAATGCTTTGAACATCCATCCAAGCTCTCTGAAAACCGTCCTGAGAAGAAATCGTTAAACACTCTTTGAGTGAGCTGAAAAATTAATCCGGCATTTGATCGAGATAAGATATTACATCCTCTTCAAAGGCTTCAGAAACGGCTCTGTAGGAGCATATATATCGATATACAAATTTATATTATTTTTCATGCATTTATATCTAAGTTAAAAACATTTGAAAATTCATCCCCCTGGGGGCATGTTACCTTGATGAAAGACCCTCATTTTGGTGTTATTGCAACCCCGGGGAAAAACTGGCGCACAGTGGTATAGGAAAAAAAAAAGAGGGAAATAATTCGGTAACTTCTAAACGGTTAATCTGATTTTAATGAAATTTGGTATGCACAAAGAGGAGGTGTTGTCGAGTTTAGGTTTTGAATTTGGACCTTATAGGCCAACCAGGGGCCCGGCGGGGGGGTCCTCAAATTAGGACACCTCGGCTATGTTAAATTTTTAAAACGATCCTATTTCTTCATTTGAGTTCCGATTTAAAAAAAATTTCGTATATAGAATCTCCTCATCGAGCACTATAAAAAATGTCGTCGTAGCAGTAAATTATCTCTTATAGTTTAGGAGATATTCGCATTTGAATATTAAAATTTTAAAATTTTTACCGTCCTTACTTTAGTTTTTTGATAATAGCAGGTCCAAATATTCCGATTTTCGCCATTTTTTTTATTTGCTTAACAACAAGTTTATATACCAAGCAGTGAAAGAATTATGTAAAAATCATGACTGAGTCCAAAGTTATAGGCATTTAAATTTAAAAAATTAAAAAAAGGCGATTTTTTGTCATTTTTTTGGGAAAAAAGTATCTTTTTCTTTTTAAGTTATCTAAAAAGTTTCTAAGAAGATGTATATAGAATTTATACTTTTTGGAAAGCTGACTTTACATAAAATACGATAAATGAAACAAAACCTAAAAATTTTTGATACCGAGGGGACCAGGTCCATCCAAAAAAAACCCTATTTTTTATGGAAAATTAAATTTGAGCAAAAATTCTCAAATCGCATAGTCGATATCAAATTATAGTGACCTGTTTTATATGACCCAATAAGTTCTTAATCATTTTGTAACGGGTTTCGATAACCCCGCCCCTGGTATGGATATAATAGGCAAAAAACCAAAAAATCCCATTTTTGGGATTTTTTAAAACTTTTTTGGGAATTCCGGGATTTCTAATAAGAAAATTCGAAATTTTATTTAATTTTGGATTTTGAGTAAAAAAAATCTACCTAACTGTAAAATTTCATCAAAAAATATTCATAAATAAAATTTTTATTGCAATTTGAAAAATTTGTATCTTCGCAAAAACTGAATAAAAAACATTTTTTAATTTTTTTTAAAAAAAGTATTCCGCGAATTTTTTAATTTTCAAAAATTATATACAGTTTTGAAAAATAGACAAAATTACCTTTCCATTGATATATAACATGCCTACCTAATGTTTTTTAAGTGACAAATTAATTAGGGAAAACTCAACATCTTTTAGAAAATTTGCCTAGCACTATTATTTTCATCCATAAGGTTAACTCTTAATTTGTTACATATATGGATGAAAATAATAGTGCTAGGTAAATTTTCTAAAAGATGTTGAGTTTTCCCTAATTAATTTGTCACTTAAAAAACATTACTTTTTTAAAAAAAATTAAAAAATGTTTTTTATTCAGTTTTTGCGAAGATACAAATTTTTCAAATTGCAATAAAAATTTTATTTATGAATATTTTTTGATGAAATTTTACAGTTAGGTAGATTTTTTTACTCAAAATCCAAAATTAAATAAAAATTTCGAATTTTCTTATTAGAAATCCCGGAATTCCCAAAAAAGTTTTAAAAAATCCCAAAAATGGGATTTTTTGGTTTTTGCCTATTATATCCATACCAGGGGCGGGGTTATCGAAACCCGTTACAAAATGATTAAGAACTTATTGGGTCATATAAAACAGGTCACTATAATTTGATATCGACTATGCGATTTGAGAATTTTTGCTCAAAATTTAATTTTCCATAAAAAATAGGGTTTTTTTGGATGGACCTGGTCCCCTCGGTATCAAAATTTTTAGGTTTTGTTTCATTTATCGTATTTTATGTAAAGTCAGCTTTCCAAAAAGTATAAATTCTATATACATCTTCTTAGAAACTTTTAGATAACTTAAAAAGAAAAAGATACTTTTTTCCCAAAAAAATGACAAAAATCGCCTTTTTTTAATTTTTAAATTTAAATGCCTATAACTTTGGACTCAGTCATGATTTTTACATAATTCTTTCACTGCTTGGTATATAAACTTGTTGTTAAGCAAATAAAAAAAAATGGCGAAAATCGGAAATATTTGGACCTGCTATTATCAAAAAAACTAAAGTAAGGACGGTAAAAATTTTAAAATTTTAATATTCAAATGCGAATATCTCCTAAACTATAAGAGATAATTTACTGCTACGACGACATTTTTTATAGTGCTCGATGAGGAGATTCTATATACGAAATTTTTTTTAAATCGGAACTCAAATGAAGAAATAGGATCGTTTTAAAAATTTAACATAGCCGAGGTGTCCTAATTTGAGGACCCCCCGCCGGGCCCCTGGTTGGCCTATAAGGTCCAAATTCAAAACCTAAACTCGACAACACCTCCTCTTTGTGCACACCAAATTTCATTAAAATCGGATTAACCGTTTAGAAGTTACCGAACTATTTCCCTCTTTTTTTTTTCCTATACCACTGTGTGGCGATGATCAAATGTATCACCGGTCTTTCTTAGGAATGATTTGACATAGAGAACCACATGAGTACACGCAGTGAATGTTGTTTAAACCCAAATTCGCGAGAAGGGAATATCTGATAAAGGACTGACGCACGGTAAAGTCTATAATTCTAAGATCGGCGCAATTGCCGAGAAAACAGATACCCTACAGATGATTAGCTGTGGGATTTTGGGTTGAAAATAAGATGGTGTTAAGTGTATATGATACGGGATAAATATAGGGGTATATGGACCTTACCCATTCGTATACCTAGAGTGAGTGTGTCGGATGTTCTTCGCTATGAGTGTACTGGGTTGAATGGTGATGGATGTAAGGTATCTTATATATATGATACCATTGAATTTTCCTTCCTTGTCCAGGTATGTTCACGGTTTACTCTGTTCTATCAGATTTACCACAGTGTTTTCTTAGTGATAAAGAGCAAGTCATTGTCTTATTGGATGGATTCGTTTTTCGGTCTACCGAATACGTCTCTATGCCCTGTTGCCGACTCCAGGCCATCCCAACCCTACATGGTTATAAATGGAAGTGATGTTTTTGCATCTTGGAAGTTAAGCAATCGGGCAGCAATGGCCAAAGATTAGAAAGCTCGAGTACTTGAGCAAAGTGCTTGTACATGGGCCGGCATAATTATGTATAAAAATTGCCACCGGTATGTAAACAGCTCACCCTGTGGCAGAAAAAGTACCACCGTGAAATAGGGCCAACAAATCAATTTAATTAACTGTCAGAGATCGTCATTATCCAAAACATGAACAATTCTATTATGCTTTCTTTCTAGAAGTTTGCAATCTAAAATATGCGAAATAGGTCCATAAATAACGAAGATATGATAGAATTTATGAAAAAACCTATATTACTAAATAATGTGAGTATTTCCCAGTCTGATCATGTCATATATCTTAGTATTCACTTGGATGGTCATCTAACTTGGCGTTAACACATCGGCTCCATATGAGACTAAAATCTTCCAAACTACAATGTCTATTTCATCAATCGAAGCTAAGCCTTGACTGCAAAGTCTCCCTGTTTAGGACTGTTTTAAAACCAATTGGAATTTAACTATGGGGCATCTCAAGTAATATAAGTAAGTATTGATCTTATGCAATGGGCCCAATCCAAAATTCTCAGAATCATGACGACAGCACCATGCTATATAAGAAATTAAAACATTCATCGTGATTTACAAGTGCCTTTAGTATAGGAAGAATTTAGGAAATATCGAGAAAAGTAATTGTCAAAACTTCAAGTACATCAGAATTCGCATGCAAGTTCAAACAAGGCTTCGAAGAGCTGACTTTTACCACCCGTTTAATATGGAGACTCTATCTATATTTAGCTTTTCATACATAAGCGTAGTAAGTTTGAAAGTAAAATTAATATATGTTGAATCAGATCCGAAGCAATACTCATAGAACAGTATTGGACCTGTTGTGCGCTCCTTTGCAGAACCTACGATCTCTGTAGTGACAAAGGACAGCACTACAAACTTACCTCCATTCACATAAATAGACAATATGTATGTAGTTTAAAAGAAAGATATTCGAAAGACCTTTCATTTGATGTATAATATGTCTTGTAAGTAGTGCTATGCATAACCGAAATTATGGTTAAAAATATGTAGTTTTTGATTGTTGTAAAAACTAAAATTAAAAAAAAAAAAAATAATTCAAAAACTTCTTAAATTTGTTCTGAAGGTTTACCTTTTAAAAAAATTTTAAATAATACCGAAGAAATATTTCGAAATCAAGCAAACTGTTGTTTGTTTTGAGCGAACCTAATGTCTTAATTACAGTCATGTATATCTTTTTTTTGGCAGGCGTATTATTTAGCATTTAAATCGTTTATACTTTGCTCTATATTAATTTATATACAAAATTAAAAACATTTTAATATGTATAGTTATGACATGTAAACGATTAGATGATATGGAATAAAGTCATTACATCTACATTAGACTTAATAATTAAGACCATTGCAGACTGTGGTCGTTATTAAATAAATTATAAACTTATATATTTGGCCTCAATTACCTAAGTTACAAATGATTTTACTATTTAAGTAAATAAAATATTTAGTATGAAAGTTCAGACAATATCTTAACCAGTTGGAAAATTTCATGTCAATAATATAAAAAAATATGCGATAGAAACTATAAAACTATAAGTATGACTCTAAATGGGGGAGGGAAAGTATTATGAGGTTTGGTTTGTTAAATTATAATTTATTTTTGGGTGATATGTATTTATTGTCTTTTTCAACATTAAATAAATGAAATGTATTTTTTAATACTTCTTTGTTTTGTTAATAATTCATTGTCAATTTATACTAAATATAATAAATTTAATTTTAACATTTTTCTTTTCTCTCATCTATTTGTAGGTGTCCTTCAAGTAAGTGTTTTCTTGTATATATAATAAATATTAGTCATCATCATTCTATGGGTAAGTTTATGTCTAATTATTATTTTTTACATATTTTTTGTCGATTTTGCCATTTTTTTTTTTTGTTTGTGTGTGCAATTTAAACCTTAACCATAATAACCCTAATCTTAACAATAGTTTGGCTTTTTACACTAAATTAAATTACAGTAACTAAATAATAGATTTTACGCTCGACATCTTAAAAGTAGAAATACTAATAAATGAGCACATAAGATTAAAGCATTCGTTGGTTTAGAAGTTACAGCTGAAAATATTTGTTTTTTAAATTTAGTTAAATTGAAATTATTAGATTAAAAATGTGTAATAAAAATGCAAACTACAAAAATATAAAAAAATACAGCAGGCCAAGTCAGCAGTACTACTGACTGACTACTGACTTGCTGACTATATCTTGCTGTTTTGAAAAATTCATCAAACCTTTTCTATGGAATTTAGTTTAAAAAGTCGTAACTGCAGTAAAGTTTTTCTTTATATAAACTTACCTGCAAAATCGGCCAATTGATTAGGAGGATGTTCGGTATAAAACATACTCTTCCCTATCGCCAGAGAACCTTTACGTTCTATAGCATTGCCCGATGAACTAAAACCTGTTATACTATTGCCCGATATCGATGCTATTGATGATGTTGCACTGTGTGATGACGACAATGAAGATGACGACGAGGAGGACGCCGACGATGAGGTACCACTACCCAGTAGGTCATTTTTCATTAAGTGTACATCGGTTTGTAGGGATCTACTCGAATCATTGCGTATGGGTATTATGTTATCTGGAATTATAAAAGTTTTTTTTTGGATGAATCTCCAGTTTGAAGTAAAAAGATCATCTCATTTCAGGTGAAAGTATAGAATTCCTAAATTGTCTACACAAAAAGCTCAATTAAAGGACTTAGTCACAGCTTGTACATATTTAGAGTTAAAATTGTTATCCCAGCAAAAACTAACATTGAAAAGTAAGGGATTAAAATGCTTAAATTTACTAACACAATAATATTTTAAATTATTATTTGAACACGGGGATGACTTTCTAGGCAACAACTTACCACAGTTGATAAGTACTTACTACCGGAGTTAAGTAAGTAGTTTTGTTTCTGGAAAAAATGCCTAGGAGGACATGTAAACTGCGTCTACTATTAGTTTTCACAAAAAACTTGTTATCGTAAGTCATTACTAGACTCTTTCTAAGTAATGCAGATGTAATGTAGTATTCATTGAAATGTAAGCTGTTGAGTAAGCACAAGCCATGTTCTTGCTGGGATGATATTATAAAAAGTTGAATAAAATTTATAAATTAGAAAACAAATTTTCATTTACATTTTGTAATTAATATTTAAAATACGAATTCCCAAATTGGGTAATATAATTCCCATTTCCGGAATAAGTTTAAACGTTCCAAATGAAACTGTTTACATTCGTTTACAACGTACAGACGAGTCTTAATCGACTCAGAAAGTGATTCTGAGTTGATCGGTATACTTTAAGGTGGGGTAAGGATCAATATTTTTGTGCGTTACTAATGTACGCATAATAACCTCCCATTATTGATGTGTAGGGTATAAACAGCAATCTGGGTAAATAAAAAATCTTAATTTGGAGCCCCGAACAGAGTTTAAGCAAAAGTAGTCTTATCTTCAGTATTAAGTTCCAGTCTTATAGTGGCCTCACCCCGAATGAATTAGGGCTTAAATGGTCTCCAACAGGTTATGTCGTGAGTATTTTATGATCTCCACCATTTAAAAACATAACCTCAAGTTATGTAAAAGTCAAAGTTGTAATTTTATAAAATTAATTAAATTTAGCAATATGTACTTACTTTCTCTTGTATCAATAGTCGAATGAGTGACCTGTTTTGAAGGCGTTGAGGGCAAAGGTATTTCTGTAAAGAAATAAGAATAAAAAGACATTAACAAATTCCTTATATCAAAATCCTGCTCATTATAATATGAAATATACGGTCCACTTATTTTAAGAAAGTTCTTAGTTCTCATTTTATATTTAAGCAAAGTTAATTATAATTATTTCATTCCCTGATTCCACTTACCATATACACGTATTGAACCCTCCGTCTCGCCTAGAGAATTTTTCGAAATACATCTATAGTTGCCAAAGTCGCCATATTGTAAATTTCTAATAGTCAATTTCATATGAGCCCTTTATAGCAGAAAAAACAAATAATTTTTAAACAAATTTCACATTAAATACATTTATTAAAAATACTTAAATTAAATTAATGAATATCATTTATATTATTTAAAAAATGAAATAAAAAGTTTTCTTTAATTAAATCTAAACAAATTTTGAAGTAAAAATCATAAAACATTTTAATTATAATTCATTTATTTGTTATGTCCTTCAGTCTATTCCTCTCTCTCTCTCTTACTCTCTATGTATGAAAACATGTCATTTATTTTAAAAATAAATTTTCACTTAACAATCTACTTCATTGACATTATAACAAGTATGTTAAATGTATTGATAAAATACGTACATACATTCATACATATATGTTTATGTATGTATGTGTGTATGTATCCTTATAAACATTTCGATGTGTTATTATGTTAGTATGCTTAAATTTTTTAGTGCATAGTACTAGAGTTTTCTTAAAATTCTTCCAACATTTAATGTTTACTTCACTTAAAGAAAATAAACTTTTAAATGTCTCATAAGACATTTCATGCTGCTACTATTTCGAAATAACTAAAGTACACAACTTATACATAAAAAATATCCCAACAGTTCTGATAAATATCCTTGCTTAGATTCAACTAAGTTCTATTCTCAAGAGAAATTTCCGAAAATTTTCAATTAAAGTAGATTTTCTTTAAAGTTTCTATTTAAAGAGAATTTTTCTACAATTTTCTATTATTCTGAAAAATTTCTATTAATGGATTTTCGAAAAATTTTTCTGTTAAAAGAGAAATGAGAAGAAGAGAAATTTTCCTAAAATTTTCTATAAAAAGAAGAGAAATTTTGCGAAAATGTTCTATAAAAAGAAGATAAATTTGCCGAAAATTTTCTAGAAATTTTTCGAAAATTTTCTATAAAAAGAAAAGAAATTTTTCGAAAATTTTCTATAAAAAGAAGAGAAATTTTCCGGAAATTTTCTTTAAAAAGAAGAGAAATTTTCCGGAAATTTTCTTTAAAAAGAAGAGAAATTTTCCGAAAAATTTCGTTAAACAGAAGAGAAATTTTCCGAAAATTTTCTATAAAAAGAAGAGAAATTTTCCTAAAATTTTCAATAAAAAGAAGAGAAATTTTCCGAAAATTTTCTATAAAAAGAAGAGAAATTTTCCGAAAATTTTCTATAAATAGATCAGAAATTTTTCGAATATTTTCTATAATAGTCAGAACTGCTGGTATATATTTATATTTCTTTGTTAAAGTAAATGTTCAATACTTGCATACAAGCAGTGAACAGTGGGACTAAAATTAAAAATTTAACCAAAACATAATACGGCTAAATTCAAATAAATAAATAACCTTTTGGCCCACTGTTTAATTTTTGTATATTTTTATGATGTAAAAGATGTTTGTGCATGTGTGTTAATATGCATGTTACAAAGAATATCAAATATTTTACTTTTTCTTCTAGTTCTGGTTCTGCTTCTAAAACCTTCTGCAACATACTACTTCTGCTACTTCGACTATACTTCTATTACTCTTCTTATGTTAGAAAATGATTAGTTTGTATATATGATGTCAAAGTTTTGAGTTCATATTAAAGTTTGTTATTTCACATTTTGATAAATATACACACTCATACACACACACACTTTAAAATGCACACATGTAAAATATGTTCGAAGAAAAAACTTTAACTCAAACATTAAAACATACGTACACACACACACTAATATTTTCCAACATACGCAAATAGAATTTTAGTTCATATTTTCATTCATATGCTCTAGAGACAAGTTTAGTTAACTTTTGATAAAATGACTTTTGTTTATTAGTTTAAAACACTTAGGAGAATATTAAGAGAGTAGAAGTTTTTGCCAAAGAAATCATTGTTCCTTGCAGAGGAAGAGAAGAGAGGGAGTGAATGAGTGAGGCGGGCATTTATTTCAAATGGACCCCAAAACATAAAACAATTTCATATTAAAACTCATATTTCATTAAATTGTGCAGAGTGGAAAAAAACTTTAAAATTTGATCAAATTTATTTATTTACTTAGTAAACTAAAGTTTAAAAATTGAATTTTTATGGCAAAAAGTAAAATGAAATGTTTTCATTACCTGTAGGAATTTTCAGTATAATCCGTTTTGTATTTTTTACTAGGCAATACCATAACTGAGTTATAAACCCAATATATTATAGCTCTGAGGAAAAATTTTTAAAATAATTAAAAATTAAAAATTAAAAATTTTAATAATTGTTTTATATAAGTAGTAAATATCCAAAGGGGGTTTTTAGTTTATAGACAACTTACTTGGGATGGGCTTCTGTATGACAATCGATGGTTACATCAGTGCCAGCCGGTGCTCCAACTAGTTGATTTGGCACCCAAATCATGGGAGAAACTAAATAACGGTAATAAAATTTTATATTAAAAGGCTGGATGCTAATTTTAAGCAATACATATTAGGGTAGTTTGATAGGTCTAAAATAATGTATGTAATATATTTTAACAGTTCCCTGATATATATCAAAAGCTCATCGATAAAAACATCAAAAGCTTACATTTTGACATTTTGAAACCGATCGCTATAAGATAAGTATTATCAATATTAATTTAAGAGATCACCGATCGATGTCACGATACCTCAGAACTTTTTTCCATTAGGTATACATATTACATAGTCGTAAGTTTTAAATGAACTGGAACTGAACTAGATGTGAACTAGAACTGAACTAGAACTGAACTAGAACTGAACTAGAACTGAACTAGAACTGAACTAGAACTGAACTAGATGTGAACTAGAACTGAACTAGAACTGAACTAGATGTGAACTAGAACTGAACTAGAACTGAACTAGAACTGAACTAGAACTGAACTAGAACTGAACTAGAACTGAACTAGAACTGAACTAGAACTGAACTAGAACTGAACTAGAACTGAACTAGAACTGAACTAGAACTGAACTAGAACTGAACTAGAACTGAACTAGAACTGAACTAGAACTGAACTAGAACTGAACTAGAACTGAACTAGAACTAAACTAGAACTGAACTAGAACTGAACTAGAACTGAACTAGAACTGAACTAGAACTGAACTAGAAATGAACTAGAACTGATCTACAACTAACCTAGAACTGAACTAGAATTGTACTAGATCTGAAATATAACTGAGCCACAACTGAACTGGAAACCAACCTTATAAATAAAATATTATCTCAAAATCTTTTACTGCAAAATAAAAAGGTTGTCAAAAATTTCTGTTCAGTTCCCCTTGTTACTTGGTGCTTTTCCTGAGAGCACCCCTAAATAATACTAAAACCTATCTCCTCTATGTTAGTATATGACACCTTGAATTTTTATGAAAAATATCGTTTACTGTTTACGTGCTGAGCTTTGAAAGAACTACTTTAACCGTACCAAAAGGACGTGTAAAGAATTCTCAAGTATACATTTTATATTTTAATAAATTAAAAAAACAAAGGTGCTCTTTTCTCTGTGTGTGTACTTAAACATTTTTGAATTTTTATATTTTTCAGTTTGTTAGAACCCCCCTTTACAGTCTTTTACTATTTTTGGCTTTTACCACTTTTTTTGTTCGCCCAGTTTTAAGTTTTCGTGTGACGCTTACAAACAACAACGACAACAACTTTAATATTTTCTAAAACGGAACGTAAACATCAATTTAATGTTTTGTTTTTACTACTGACTAAAGTGCAATTTTTCAAATGACACTTGCTACGTGACTCTTGTTCTAATACACGTCTTTTGGTAACAGTTGGTAAAAGGACAATATCTGCTAAACAGAATCAGTAATTGACTATGCACTTTATCAAGTGGCATACGAAAAAAATAAAACTACAACAACATGATACAAAAACTAAATAAAAGTATTAATATAAGTAGGAAAAAAAATTCAACACTTTTTTTGGGGGATTTTTTTTCTATGTATTTAAACACTTGGTATAAATTTGAAATTTTGTTAGTCTTACACTACTGCTGTGTGAAGTGTTAATATAACTAGTACTTTTAAAAGTTTGTTTTAGGTTTTGGCCGGGGGTATAGAAGCTCTTGGCAAATCGACTTAAAATCGGTTTTACCGTTTAGAAATTTCTGATTTATTACTCTTTTATATAATTGTCTTACGTGGCTTACTTTGGGGTCTTCTAGACCCTAGGCCGATGAGTCCGCACTGAAACCTTTACTCGAAAACATTCAGGATGCGAAATTTTAACAACATTTCATTCGGAATCGAACACCCTGACATAAAGTCTAACGTCCTATCGGTCTAGATGATACCAGAACTTTTGAATGTCCTACGTATGTATGTGCTGTCTATCTATCTTTGTAGCTTTAGTTTTGTAACTATGGACATCTGTACCCTTGTGCCCTTAATTTAAAAACATAATGTCCATCGTTTATTATGGCTACAACAGGCTTTGCTCGTCTATTTATTTGTTTCAAAGAATGAACAAAAAAAGAACAGACAAAACATTTTGATTTTTTGTTATAGTTGTTGTGTTTTTTGTTATGCCTGCATACATACATTGCATTGAAGACCACAATTTAGAAGTCATCCATCTATTACTTACACTCAACATCAAGTATTATACGCTTTGATACAGAAGGTGGTACTCCATTGGTGGCAATACACAGATAGGCACCCATCTCATTCCGGCTAACTTTGGTCAATGGCAACACTTCACCATCATACACCAACACTGCAGCCAGTCAACCAAGCATCCAACAAGCAAGGTGAACAACAAATGACCAGGAATACAAGATAAAACAGAAACAAAAGATCCACAAAAAATACCCCCAAAAAATAGAAAAACAAAATATTTTTACATAGAATAGCAGCAGCAGCAATATTATACCCAAATATTCATTGGTGATAGTTGGTTGGTTGGTTGGTATAACAAAAGTATAACAATGTTCAAGCACATTTCCCAAAAGCCAGCAAAAACGAAAAATGTATAAAAAAAATAAACATATAAATTGTCAGCATATTGTTTGTAAAAGACCAGCAATAACAGCAGCAACCAAATCCAGCAGCAGGATTTGCCATGAAGTGGGTTGAAGTCAACAACACAAACAACAGCCGTAGTAAAGATGCAGATAAATATGCATTGTTGGGCAATAGTTACGTCCAGGTATTATGAGAACATGGCAAAAACAAAGACACACACAAATAAACAATATAAAAAAATATATAGAAAAAAGAAAGAACAACAGATTTTTAAAAATGAAAGAAGTTTTTGGCAGCAGCACCACCACCAGCAACAGCAGCAGCAGTATCAAGTTTGTAGTTTAGGTCGAAAGGATTTGCATGTGAGGTCATCAATTCCAAAGGAGATTAAAGAGACAATTTAAAAGAAAACAAAACAGATTTTTTTAAAAAAACATTGTTCATTTTGTTCAGTTTTTAGTTTTTTGTGGGAATTTTGTTTTCTTCATATAGAGAGATTATTTTTATATTACCTTTCTTTTTCTTTTCGACAGCAATTTCTTCACCATCTTCTCTGCGCCAAATGATTTTGGGTGCTGGAAAACCATCCGCCCTGCAGGTCATATTAATATTTTGATTTTCCCTAACAGCCACCGAAGAGGGGGTACTCTCAATGTCCAATATATTGGGAGGCACTTTAAAGAAGATTGTTAAAAGAAAAAATCAATATGTACACTATTTATGCAGATTTATTGAGATTTATATATGTATATATATATATTCTTCAGCTGTATTTTTCATTTACTTACCAACTACTTGTAAATAACCCACTTGACTTATCATGGGATTCGTGTTCACTTGACACATGTAGTAGCCACGATCGTCCTGATGTGCCTGATTCACATGCAACAGCCAAGTGTTTGCATTGTCGTAAGTGATGCTGTAACGTGGTATTCTTGAGATGACATGTCGATGTATTGTCAAAATCATTTGTCTATCAATATGTATCCAGGCAACCTACAACAAGAAGAATAAATATGTATAACAATAATCAAAGAAAAAAAATGCAAAATCCTTAGAAACAAACTGTAATGAAAAAAAAGACTTTTTGAAGTACTTTTGCCAGTTGAACAAATAACAAACAAGATTTAAAAACGAACGAACGAACTAACAACTAAAGAGTAAGAGCGAGGGAGCATAGGTTAAGATAATGTTGTGCTATGAATTCCGTATCGAATGAAATTCAAATCTAACTTTCAATTGTTATGTATTTATTGACATATGTTGTACATTCATTTAAACATTACTTGTGGATATATGTATGCATACACATATCAAATACATACAATTTATCTTTTGGATGCACATGTAGCATGATTTTATTGATACAATTTCATATAGAACATGTTTGTGGAATGGAATGGTAAAAATTCGTTGAGCTGTTAGTTTTTCATTTTGTTCTACGTTTGTCTGAAATTGTATTTGTGCAACGTATGGTCAAAGTTTTAAAATCCAAAGCAAAGTGGTACCGATTACAAAATAAATGGTAATAAATATCAAAGTCTAACTAATATGTATTTAAAACCGTTTTGTTTTCCAAAATTTGTAATGGAAAAAACACATTTTGAATACTTTTGAGTGCAGTTAACTACTGTAGGTGCCTTTATTTGTATTTAGTTTTTATAACACCAAAAAAAATATAACTATATACGGATGCCACTACGCCCTATAAAACAGTTTTGCCCAAAGTCTTGCACATTTTTTATGGACCCAAAATATTTGGGTTCTCGGTGTCATTTTTGGAAAATAGTGATCATTTTCCCCTGCTCATATCTTGCAAACCGTTTGGAAAAACGTTATCTTCAAGATCGCAAAAACATTAAATAATTTGATTATTACGTATTTCTCTATATTAAACGTATACTTAATATTTGTAATATCAATAAATCATTAATACGTATACGTACTGGTGTCATTAATAAAATCAGTGCAATTTCACAATTTAAAAGGTTCCAACGTGAAATGAAAACATGAGTATGAAGTTTTTTTGATCTTTTATGTTCACAATTTCTGTTCCTTATGACTAAAGCTACAACTTTGCCTTGAAGAGTAAATCAAAATTCCGAACAGTTTGCAAGATATTTTCTCAGACTCATGCCTTACAAACTGTTGAGAATTTTGATTTACTGTCTGAGGCAAAGCTGAAGCTATTGTCATATAGAACAAAAAAACTACATCTTCAAGATCAAAATCGTAAAAAACATTAAATAATTTGATTATTACATATTTCTCTATATTAGACGTATACTTAATATATGTAATATCAATAAATCATTAACACGTATACGTACTGGTGTCGTTAATAAAATCAGTGCAATTTCACAATTTAAAAGGTTCCAATGTGAAATGAAAACATGAATATGAAGTTTGTTTATCTTTTATGTTCACAATTTCTGTTCCTTATCACAAATGCCTTGGACGGTAAATCAAAATTCCGAACAGTTTGCAAGATATGAGCCTGAGAAAATTATCACTTTTTTTTGCAAAAATGTTCGCAGGATTTTTAATGAAGTAACACAATTTCCAGGCTAAAATTCAAAATTCAAATCAAAATTCATGGTTTGTGATGGCTTAGAAAACCCCTACCTTCATAACAAACCGAACCCACTTAAAGAGTATTTTTGTCTCTCTTTGTCTATGCTACTGCTCTGTACTTTTACCATTTAAGATTCATTTCTCACTCTCCAGTTTTTCTTAATAATTCTTGTACACAAAACCCACTATGCAAAGCAATAAACTGTCAGTAGTAACATGGAATAACATGGAATGTTTTGCAAATTTTTATTTGCAAAGCTTAACTAGATTTGAATAAAGTTAGTTACTTACTAACATCAATATGTATTAAAAAAGTATGACTGTTTTGTGTAAGATGCAACCAATTTGCAGTTTGTATAACTCATAAAACCATTCATTGACATTTAAAATCTTTCATATCAAGACAAACATTTTACAACGATTAATATACAATGATAGTTATACACATTAGAATGACATTGATCTACCTGTTAATTTTACAGGCTTACAAATTGCGAAAGGAATCAATGTAGGAAGAAAAGTCCAGAATAAAGAAACAAACCAAAATCAAAATATTCGACACAAATTGGGATATTAAAAGGATAATTGCTCGAAATTGTGATTAATACTGATACTCTAGCCTTGAGCTTAATTTACGTCACTAGACTAAGCTCAATTTTTAGAAGGATTTAAAAATTCCAAATAACTTCTACTTAAGGCATAATCTTGTTATTGAGTTTAACATTGCTCTAAATAAAGCCAATTAAAAACATAAATTTATTTTGCCATTTATAAATTAATCAAAAATCCACCACCTTACCTTATAACCACCCAAATGTTCAACGACGCATGGTAAATTAGCATCACGTCCAACAGCCACAGTAACATTAGGTATTGGTTGAGCAAAACGTGGCTCGTTCATCATAACTGAAAATGGTATAGAAACGAATATTTTACTTTAAATGATGAAATTTGAAAAATAAATATTAAACAACATTAACTCGTCAATAAGCATTGTCAAGTACGCGGGTGTCTTTTTTTTTTTTTTTTGTTTTCTATTTTCCAAAACAAATTGAAGTTTTTCTGTTTATTTCATTTAATTAAGTTGTTGCTCATTTGGGAAAATCATGAAAATGGTTGCAACTATTGTATGTGCATTTTTTTGTATTTTTTTGAGTTAACCACAATGGTGGCAACCAGCATTCGGTTTTAGACAACTTTTTACTTCATAGAAGAGTGTAATATTCAGCTGGGGAGCAACTTAAATAACCACCGACTAATTTTCCTACTAAACTACAGTGATCTACAGTATAATTTATAGTCTAGTCTATAGTCTAGTCTATAGTTTAGTCTATAGTTTAGTCTATAATCTAGTCTATAGTCTAGCCTATAGTCTAATCTATAATCTAGTCTATAGTCTAATCTATAATCTAGTCTATAGTCTAGCCTATAGTCTAGTCTATAGTCTAGTCTATAGTCTAGCCTATAGTCTAGTCTATAGTCTAGTCTATAGTCTAGTCTATAGTCTAGTCTATAGTCTAGTCTATAGTCTAGTCTATAGTCTAGTCTATAGTCTAGTCTATAGTCTAGTCTATAGTCTAGTCTATAGTCTAGTCTATAGTCTAGTCTATAGTCTAGTCTATAGTCTAGTCTATAGTCTAGTCTATAGTCTAGTCTATAGTCTAGTCTATAGTCTAGTCTATAGTCTAGTCTATAGTCTAGTCTATAGTCTCGTCTATAGTCTCGTCTATAGTCTCGTCTATAGTCTCGTCTATAGTCTCGTCTATAGTCTCGTCTATAGTCTAGCCTATAGTCTAGTCTATAATCTAGTCTATAGTCTAGCCTATAGTCTAGTCTATAGTCTAGTCTATAGTCTAGCCTATAGTCTAGTCTATAGTCTAGTCTATAGTCTAGTCTATAGTCTCGTCTATAGTCTCGTCTATAGTCTCGTCTATAGTCTCGTCTATAGTCTCGTCTATAGTCTCGTCTATAGTCTCGCCTATAGTCTCGTCTGTAGTCTCGCCTATAGTCTCGTCTATAGTCTCGCCTATAGTCTCGTCTATAGTCTCGCCTATAGTCTCGTCTATAGTCTAGTCTATAGTCTCGTCTATAGTCTCGCCTATAGTCTCGTCTATAGTCTCGTCTATAGTCTCGTCTATAGTCTCGTCTATAGTCTCGTCTATAGTCTCGTCTATAGTCTCGTCTATAGTCTCGTCTATAGTCTCGTCTATAGTCTCGTCTATAGTCTCGTCTATAGTCTCGTCTATAGTCTAGTCTATAGTCTCGCCTGTAGTCTCGTCTATAGTCTCGTCTATAGTCTAGTCTATAGTCTTGTCTATAGTCTAGTCTATAGTCTTGTCTATAGTCTAGTCTATAGTCTAGTCTATAGTCTTGTCTATAGTCTAGTCTATAGTCTTGTCTATAGTCTAGTCTATAATCTATTTGCTACAATTTGCTAAAGATTTGTTACAATTTGCTAAAGAGAAGAAACTTTAAAATTCTGGTTATTAAGTGTTCTGTTTTCCAAACACATGATCAAATAGGATCATAATTTAACATTCAAATATAGAAATGTTTCTAAAATTGTTTTTGTTATCAAAAATAAACAAGTTTAGTTTATTAAAAAAAAATTTTACTAAATCTTTTCATGTAACCACCTCTTGCATTAGCGTCCACTTTCAAGTTAGTACTTGATTTTAGTGAGCAATAAAATAAATGTCCATATTTTTAAAAGTTTTATTATGTGCGTTTTGTTTTCCCATTTAAAGTTTTTTAATGTGAATTAGTTTACTGTGGAAAATTAGGAAATAAACGTGCTCCTAAGTTTACATTGTTTTTACACACACACTCACACATATGCTCCAACGAAAAAAGAAATAAAGGAATTAACATTTACTCCCATTCTGTAATAGAACATCAATTTCCAAAACCTCCTGAGAGCAGTGAAATATGAAACCGCAAAAAAGAATTTCTTACACACATATGTACGTTACAGACTCCTGCTGCAGCAGCAACAACATCTGAATTTAAAAATCCAATACATTTTTAAATGGAAATTTAAAACAACATACAACTCCCACTCACCCAACAGCCTGCTAAGTCACCCATGCCACCCAACATACCGCCCACCATATGTACAAATGTGTCTGTGGTAAAACCACAAATCACCAATTAAATATTTATACTTCAATCTACTCAACGAAACGAATGTAAAAAATGTAAAGGGATTTATACATAAAAATACATGAATGTGTACAATGTATAAGTACATTTATACTTTCGTAAATACATGAATGTACTATGAGTATGTAAGTACATCTTTATAGAAAAAAGACGAAACTGTTACCATATTTTTTGGCTGTAGCACAAGCTGTGGAATTCGAAGTTGAAACAGTCGGGCATAGAGCAAAGTGGAGTAGTAAAATCATCACAAGAACGAAAAAAACTCATCTGTATGGTTGAAACTTATGTATGAATCTTAAATTACTTGCGTGTAAAATAAATGTACTCGTATTATGTACTCACATTTATTTAAATTAGACTGGTTGCGAGTTAAAAAATAAATTTGAAATTTTTATTAACTTAATCTTAAGGAAACCCCTTGATTTTGTGTTTGTTGTTATCATATATCAGCAGGACAAGGCAGGCATCTGTCAGCAGTTCTTATGGACCGTCAGCGCTAATACATTGCCCAGTTAATTTGGATCTGTTTTGAGCCAGTCTAATATGAATTAATAGTATGTATGTAGCAAAGTATTCAAATGAAAATTTGTGTTCTTTGAATAGCAGATATGTTAGATTTTCAATTATTTACCTTCTAATACAAAATAATATACGTTAAGTGAAATGAATACTTTTTCAACGTCATTTCTGTAATAAATTAGATGCAATTTTATTAAGAAGTGGTTACAGATATTTGAAATGAAAGCTTTCATATAAGATAAAATATTTAAATTTAGAGATAAACTTATTCAGAATCCAAACTAAACTAGAGGCGCTAGAAAAAAGAAAGGAAAAATATCTTTTTTGAGTGAAAACATAAAAGTCCATTTTCTGGCTAAACTAAAGGCGCTAGGGCAAAAATAAAGAAAATCTGTGATCACTTTAATTTCCCAACAAAATTCGAATTATAACATAAAAGTCCATTTTCTGGCTAAACTAAAGGCCCTAGGGCAAAAACAAAGAAAATCTGTGATCACTATAATTTTTCAACAAAATTTGAATTTTTGAGCGAAAACATAACAGTCCATTTTCTGGCTAAACTAAAGGCGCTAGGGCAAAAATAAAGAAAATCTGTGATCACTTTAATTTCCCATCAAAAACCGAATTTTGAGTGAAAACATAAAAGTCCATTTTCTGGCTAAACTAAAGGCGCTAGGGCGCCTTTAATTTCCCATCAAAAACCGAATTTTGAGTGAAAACATAAAAGTCCATTTTCTGGCTAAACTAAAGGCGCTAGGGCAAAAATAAAGAAAATCTGTGATCACTTTAATTTCCCATCAAAAACCGAATTTTTGAGTGAAAACATAAAAGTCCATTTTGTCGCAAAACTAAAGGCGCTAGGGCAAAAATAAAGAAAATCTGTGATCACTTTAATTTCCCATCAAAAACCGAATTTTTGAGTGATAACATAAAAGTCCATTTTCTGGCTAAACTAAAGGCCCTAGGGCAAAAACAAAGAAAATCTGTGATCACTTTAATTTCCCAACAAAATCGACAAAAACCGAATTTTTGTGTGAAAAAATAAAAATCCATTTTCTGGCTAAACTAAAGGCCCTAGGGCAAAAATAAAGAAAATCTGTGATCACTTTAATTTCCCAACAAAATCCGAATTTTTGAGTGAAAACATAAAAGTCCATTTTCTGGCTAAACTAAAGGCCCTAGGACAAAGATAAAGAAAATCTGTGATCAATATAATTTTTCAACAAAATTTGAATTTTTGGGCGAAAACATAAAAGTCCATTTTCTGGCTAAACTAAAGGCGATAGGGCAAAAATAAAGAAAATCTGTGATCACTTTAATTTCCCATCAAAAACCGAATTTTTGAGTGAAAACATAAAAGTCCATTTTCTGGCTAAACTAAAGGCGCTAGGGCAAAAATAAAGAAAATCTGTGATCACTTTAATTTCCCATCAAAAACCGAATTTTTGAGTGAAAACATAAAAGTCCATTTTCTGGCTAAACTAAAGGCGCTAGGGCAAAAATAAAGAAAATCTGTGATCACTTTAATTTCCCAACAAAATTCGAATTATAACATAAAAGTCCATTTTCTGGCTAAACTAAAGGCCCTAGGGCAAAAACAAAGAAAATCTGTGATCACTATAATTTTTCAACAAAATTTGAATTTTTGAGCGAAAACATAACAGTCCATTTTCTGGCTAAACTAAAGGCGCTAGGGCAAAAATAAAGAAAATCTGTGATCACTTTAATTTCCCATCAAAAATCGAATTTTGAGTGAAAACATAAAAGTCCATTTTCTGGCTAAACTAAAGGCGCTAGGGCGCCTTTAATTTCCCATCAAAAACCGAATTTTGAGTGAAAACATAAAAGTCCATTTTCTGGCTAAACTAAAGGCGCTAGGGCAAAAATAAAGAAAATCTGTGATCACTTTAATTTCCCATCAAAAACCGAATTATTGAGTGAAAACATAAAAGTCCATTTTGTCGCAAAACTAAAGGCTCTAGGGCAAAAATAAAGAAAATCTGTGATCACTTTAATTTCCCATCAAAAACCGAATTTTTGAGTGATAACATAAAAGTCCACTTTCTGGCTAAACTAAAGGCCCTAGGGCAAAAACAAAGAAAATCTGTGATCACTTTAATTTCCCAACAAAATCGAATTTTTGAGTGAAAACATAAATGTCCATTTTCTGGCTAAACTAAAGGCCCTAGGGCAAAAACAAAGAAAATCTGTGATCACTTTAATTT